TATATGAGGTTGCCCTGCCAATGTGTAACACTTTTATTTAGACCTAGCAATGTTTTACATTCAGCTCATACAAGTGCAGCTGAATCTAGTTTGCAAAGTGGTGGAGGATTCTGTCCCAAGAAGTCTAAAAGGAAAAGTACTAAAAATCCCAATGAAAATGAATAGTCAGCAGCTTTTATGCTGACAACATAGGAGCACAAGCTGTCACTCCACTTAGTACAGTACTGTCACGGCTGTCACTGAGCTCACTGTTATGCCAAGCTGATGCACGTTGGTAGTAGAGCAGGTAATGGAAATCTGACTTGAGTCAGGAAGTGTAAATTTCATTCTTTTTTGGCATGACAGAGCTATAGCAGTGTAGAAGTTCTATTTGCACAAGATAACAATCAGCGGAAGTTAAATTTGATGTAAACTGGTTTTTAAAAAGAGTAATTCTTACGTAATTCAGACAATTGTAGCCAGTGAGATTATGCTAGAAGTTAAGATCTCTCCATTATAACCTTTGGTAGATCAGGAATTTGACCTTAGGCCCATCTCTGACTGTTCCTGATTCCACTGCAGAGTCCCCTTGTGAACTTGAGTGTGCCACTGATTTTAAAGTCCAGAGAGATTGTTTCATTCTCTGCCTGAAATCCTCAGGTAAAAATTCATGCATCAAATTTATGCCTTTTATTTGAGATGCAAACTACTTACAAAAACGTTATCCACCCTTGAGGTGAGGTTCAAGTGGTGAGGGGAACCTATATTATTTATGCAAAGGTGTCACAAAGTTATGAATTATCAAAACAACATATTTTAATTCCAGTTTGAATTTGTCTTGGTTTAACTTCCATTGGCTTTCATCATACTTTTTTTTTTTCTTTATGGAAGCAAAGTCTAGTATCAGTATCTAGAGATAGTATGCAGACTGTGACAAATAATTTATCTGTCTGTCAGAAAAGTATTTACGTAGCTAGTATAGTGTTTCTTCCTTTTCCACTCTCAAATCATTCTTGGCTTTTGTAAATCCTTTGCAATTTGTCTTTATTATTTTGAAGTAGGAATGTCTGATTTGGATTTATTACTTCAGTGATTGTTCACTGTTTATAAGAGAAACATAATGCCAGAATCCCATAACTGCTTGATAATCTCTTCTTTTTGCATTCAAAGATCATCTTAGCTGTTTTAACCAGAATGTCATGCTGGGAGGCTCAGTGAATACTTGCTGTGCCCCCTAACATGCTAAATTTTAAGACATGAATGAAATGTCATGCTTGTCACATGGATCCATAGAAAGGACAGAATTCAGCTGAAAGTTTTCCTCAGAATGGCATTGCATCAAATGCAAGTTTTACTCCATTATGCCTGTGGAACGTCTTCCTGTTTTACCTTCAAATTAGAGTGGCTTTATAAAGGAGGCATTTTCCCCTCTAATCCTTGCCATCATGTAAATTCTGATAATCTGCTTGGTTTCTATTAGTCAGAGTAATAGGGGATCCTCACTGTGAGCAGTGGAATATTTACAGGGAAATGAATGTTGAGGTCTTTAGTCTTCAAAAATCACTGAGGGAAGGAACAGTTGAACTCTACGATCTTAGGGGTCTTTTCCAACCTGAGTGATTCTATAGACAGTTAATCTGACTTGGATCAGTTTTTCTCTTGATGCAGCTTTCATTTGTGGGTTTGCTAGCGTTTCCATTTGCTGATAACAGCAAACAAACAAAAGTAAGCATGATGTATTTCACAGATATTCAGCTTTGCCTTCGCCATGGAACATAGTTCCCAGGTGCCTGAGCTAGGGCAGAGAAGCATTCAGACAGGAGAGCTGAATGCTGAGCAGAAACGTTGGTCTGGGGGTGAAGAGCAAGCTAGCTGCACTGATGTTCTGCTTCATTTCGGAATGTTGGCTCAATACAGTGCCATGCCCCATGTTGCCTCCGATTCTGGAGCTAATACTGTCCTAGCAAGCTCAACTGTCTTTGCACTGTACCGCATGGACTAAATTTGTCTCCTGCACTGGCTCATCAATTAACTTCCATTTAACCTGCCCTTCAACTTGTCTGAGGCTTATTTTGTGAAATCACTTGTCTGGCCTCAGAGGTGCACAGTGAGGTTTTGTATTCCACACTAGAAGTGAAGTCACAGGTCAAGGTCTTGCTTTACTGATTGGTGGAGGAAACTGCTGGAGAGTGAGAGCAAAAGAAATGTGAGAATTCTGTGACCTCAATTTATATTTGCTAATAGATATGTAATTGTGTACCTTAGAGAAAACTTGCCAAAAATCATGCAAGCATGCATAAAATAAAATATTTCCTATTTCCAGGAGAAAAAAAAATGAATAGCAATGAAGAAATAAACATCAATATGTGTTAAATGTGTTAAATGCTTTCATGCAATCAATGAAATAACAACTAGCAAGAAATAAGCCATAGTGCTTTGAACAATTCTTTTATGAATCTTTCTTCCAGGAGTGTTGGAGGGAGTGTTTATCTACAATTAGTGAACACGCCCCACATTTAGTTTTTAACTACATTTTGTAAAGAACCCATTCTTGGTTTGGCCACCTATTTGTTTGCTAGAAATTTTAAAATTATTTTTAATGCGAGGTCAGATGTATTTGAAAAAACTCACATAGTTTCAACTGTGCAGTGATACCCCATCCCATTTGCGTGTTTGCCCAGCATGCTAAAGAACTGTCCCATTTTGTATCTTTGGTACACGGAATGATTGAACAATCGTAATGATTTTTGATTTTGTCTTTGTTCAATATGCAGCGTCCTACTTTATTTATGGTGTGTAGTTAAGATTTCTGCTCAGAAGAACATCTCTGATTTTTTTAAAAGCTGTCTTGCAGCATTCATCAGTGGTATCTGAATGCTTCAGAAACAATAATTAATTAGTTTACTATACCTGTATGAGGGGAGGTAGGTATATAATTGACATTTTCTTAGGAAAGCTTTTATTGGACTTGGCAGTATGAAGTGCTTTACAACCACAGAGCATAGCTCCAGTGGATTTCAGACACAGATGTGAATGCTCAACACTTCAACAGATCAGACTCAAAGATATCAAGGGAGTCTCCCAGAAAAGGAGGAACACACAGTTAAGAACTGCATGTGAAAGATTTGGTTTAGGGTAAGCAAAGCATCATGCTAGAGCTCTGTGCCAGTCTAAGGAATCAAATTAATTCACCTTTATTTTTCCCTTCCTCTACCCTCCTGCCCTGTGCATTTTCTACCACTAACTTATGTGACAAATGAGATGCATGTTCTGGAGAAAAGATCTTTTGTGACATGGTTGTGTTTCATGCACCAAAATTCTCATGGGGAATGTGGAAAATACGATATCTGATGATACAACTGAAAAATGGTATCATAACATACAGCATAATATGTGGTAAAGCATATTTCCTAGCTTTTCTAAAAAATCTTTTTGGCAAGATTAGAAACTCGGTGTACAGGATCATCGATATCAAAAGAAAGCATCTAGTTTCTCTAGAACTTTTCAGCTGAAATTTTTCGGCACTTCTTTTTTGGTCATGTTAATGTGGCGTTTTCAACTAATATTGTGGAAGTCACTTTCCCACCAGCAGTGTAGCACCACTGCAAAATTAGAGCACTCAGTGGATAAAAGCACTGAAGTTTCTTAGCAAAATAGTTGTAAGATATCTGTATCTACATCTATATCCATACCTATCTAAGTAAAAATAAAAAAATTATTTGCTTAAATCTTGTTCCCTGAAATGGTTCACATTTGCTGAGATTTCTTAAAATATGTTCTATGCCAACCTTAAGCATGTACTCAACTTGAAAAGTCACATTCTAAATAGCTTTACTTCTAGCTGAGTTCAAAAGTACTAAAAGCCACTAGCTGTGGGTAAGGTCAGATAGTCCTAAGTATAGAAAGTGCTGTCTGCCCAGCCCATAATAATGGTTAAATCTATTATGGTCAATGAAGTTAGAGAGTCAAATGCAATCAAAATCAGGCTGTGCTCCTTCCATTAGGCGGTGACAATGACAGAGCTCATTGAGAGTCATTGTCCCTCTCCATGTAACTCTACAGTCTATTGGGTGCCCATGCTGTTGACCTTAGGAGGTCAGCACTTCTGTTCCCAGAAGTGAAACGTCATGTGAGACTAAGAGGATTGTAATTTAATTGTAATCATTGACACCCTATTAGCATTATTCTTTTTTAGACTGCATTGTAGTGACTTTGCAGTGGACATCATTAGTGAACATTCGAGCCGTTAAGCATGGGCTCAATAGGTATTGTACATTTTCTTCCTATCAGGATAACATAAGCTCAGTTTAAGGGTAGCTGAAAGGTTTGAAGGTGATTTAGAAATACTTTGGTATTTGGGATGGTCTTATCTAGCAGTTTAACTTACATCTGCCTATAGAAATTAATGGAGTTCAAATTGAAGTAAAATGAGCACCAAGTAACAGTGATAGAGTTGGAGGAAGAACAACTCTGAGTATCAGAAAATATCTCATTTTCTATTTTCATTGTTCCCTCAGGATTTGTGACTGAGTCCTAACATCCTACCTCTCCACCACAACTCCATTTTTCTCTTTCCTACCCGTGATTCTTACAATTCTACACAGTCCCCAGGTTCTCTCCTCATCCCCATTCCTTTTTAGTTCTCTCCACTATACCTTCAGTTACCAACAACCTCCCTACTCTCCCAGGTTTTCCAACAAGCTCGAGCAAGGGCAGCATAACATATTTCCAGCCAGCAGGCCAAAGAGCACAGATCCTTACCTTTCATGGGATCATTAATCTAGATCTCCTTCCATTGCAGAGCTGCCAGTTTTTGATGAACATGCAGGAACTGAGACCTCTCTTGCTCCTTCAAACTCTTTGAAGTTGATAAAATGGTCCAAAAAACATAAAGACAAACTAACAGCATAATCACACGATTCTTATTCCCTGGGGAAATCAAGCTACACGAGAGACCTTCTTAATAACTCTTATGAGCATATCACACAGGTGTCTTTTTTGTTTGTTTTATTATTTAACAGTTTGACATTGACAAGGAGGCAGGAGAGAGACAGATTTACCATCGGTACTGTATGGAACGGGCATCTGTACATTGTGCCCATGTGTTCACCACAGTCTCACAGATAACAGCTATAGAAGCGGAACATATGCTGAAAAGAAGTCCTGGTAAGACCCGAATTGTTTCCTTATTATATTTCCTCTGAGTACCTACGTTCCCTCAGACTGAAAGAAAATAATAGAGACAGGTACACAAACATGAAGAGCAAGCATACATGCATAGGTATGTCTGGCTACACTGCAGAGAATAACCAATTTTCAAAAGAAAAGTGCAGATAATGTCACTTGAAACACATTCTAGTAGCATATGTAATCCAGAAGAAATCAAGTTCAGCACTATTTAATAACTGCTTTCAGTACCATTTCAGGAGAGCATTAGTTTAACTCCATGGATGTTAGCCATTCTTTGCCAGGATGGCTCAGCTTCAGGAGTTTTGTCGATAGCAGTGTTTCCAGTGATGGTAATGTATCCAGGTCAACTGATAAAAGCAGAAGCTGGAACCTTTGTAATACATTTCACCAGGTTTTACAGTGTGAGATTTGTTGCGTTGCTAGAGATGAATAATATATTCTTTTAGAAACATAGCAAAAAGTTTCATATGCAAAACAGAATGTTAGATGAGTTTTGCTTTCCAGTACTAACATTGGGTTTTTTTTACTCAATATTGAAAGAGACGAGAAGGCAAAAAACAAACTGTAAATCAATACAGTTCATTTCCCGGTATCTCTCATAGCCAGGAATTGCAGTGTGGTTGTCGTCATCATGATCTTAGGACCTAATCATGATAAGTTTCATAGATAGATACAATATTTTCTGTTAGACCAACCAGTAGAGTTTGAAAAAATGGCTGAGATATATGCCCAACAGTTTGTCTGATTTTCCCCTTTGTATCAGTCTCATAAAATATGGAACTTACCAACAAACCTTGTTGTGTTCCATGCATGGAGTTTGAATAAGGTCATGATCTCAGCTTGATGTGTTATTAAAGTTCTCTTTAAATCAAAGCAGTGCTTTATAAGGACAAACCTCAGTACTCCATCTGCAGGTAAGCATCATGGGGGAAAAACTGTGCAACAATTTTGAGACTATTTAGCAAGTGCATTCACATCTTAGTTATTTTAAGTATAATGATGCTCAAATAACTTTAGATTGTTTTGGTTTGCTTATTCTTTGTGGATTTTTTTGAGTTGAATTGCAGTGCTAATCGTAGTTTAGGATCATTATCCCTGTAAACTTCAGTGCTTCAAGGCACATCGTGGTTCATGCATGAGGTTAAAAGAGTTGTCCATTGGATCCTTTGCTTCATTCCTGACTGTCAATTGTGTGATGAACTTAAAAGACTTTTCATTTTTATTTTAATCATGACAGTCATGTCTTAAAACTGATTTAAGTGTTTAGTCATCTAATCTGGGGTCTCCTGAAAGGTCTTGTTTTTTACCAGATGCAGAGCACTTGACCTCTGAAAATCAGACTTTTACAGCTGTTTTGAATTGGCACAAGGCTTCTCCCCACAACAGCTACTCTTAAAAAATCATAGTTTATGTTTTGGGATTTTAGGAGACTGAAATGAGTCTGAATCCAGTTTCATTTGGGAGAGAAAATCTGCAGACTGCTCATAGATAGAACGTCAGTTGAAGAAGAGAACTCCATGCACATTGATTCACAGGCCTGAGCTTATTTTGATCATTCTTGCAACACTGATGAAATCAAGTAAATATATTTAATGTTTGGGTAAAAAAATGTTGACACATGTCATGCTTTATGTTGACAGAGCTAAAAAGAAATTCAATAGGAATTGGTACCCCAAATCTTAGGAGACAAGCTATAAGTGGAAGATATGTTCTGATGGGAATAAGTAATTTAGTAGTTTCTTTGAATCTTAGGCCACAAATAAACTGTGTAGGAGTCTATTCTCATACTATTTGTTCTCTCTCAAGTTGCAAAATCAATGTAGACATTGGCTGTTCAGAAAGGTCAGCAGTTCTTCAATAGATCATTAAGCTTGAATTCGGCAAAGGAACGTAAATATTGAAAGAATGTGTACACTTCTCGATCCGCTTTAAAAATAAACTTGTAAAAGGGAGATGCAGAATTGGCACAATTAACTTCTATTTGCATTTGAATTTATTGAGAAGTAACTTCATAACAGAGTTGTCAACTGAAAATAACAGAGGAAATGTGGTAAGTAAAGCAGTCTCTGCTACATCTCATTATCATTAAACTTGGATTCTAATTTAAATTATAACTCTCATCACTTGGAAAAGCCCCTTTGCAATTCAGCAGACATGATCACAGAGACAGCTTCCGCACCAGGACAAAGGCCGGTTTGCCAGGCTAAACCTGGCAGAATGACTGCTCGCATTATGCTGATTTCACTTGCTGCTCTTGTTATTTGATCAATAATTTATCAAACCGTATTTGTCAAAAGCTTGAGTTTTTAGTATTGAACATGTTTTCTTTGCCGTATCGTGCAAGATTCTGTCAGTGATCAAAGTTATATTCCCGTGATTCGAAAACTGATGTTATGGGATTTCTAGTATTTTCATTCAGGCATGAAACATATTTCTCATTAGCAGTAGAGAAGACTTTGAATCGAGATTCCAAGAGACTTAGGTATCAGTTAAGATCTAGATCTAGATCTAGACTTCATATCTGTATATGTTTTATCAAAATCATAGAAGCAAACTCTGAAAAAGTATGAGTCAACCCTGAATTTTAGTGACTTATTAACAGAAAACATCATACTGTGCTGTTATTATTTAAATCAATGCCTTCTAAATAAATATAGAAGTCAAATAATTCTGATTTGACCTACTTGGGACAATTTTTTTAAAAAAATAATTAATTAATTAAACAATAAAAAACCCCAAACCACTTAGAATAGGAACAAAATGTTCTTTCATCACTTCTTCCCTAGGGCAAGGGCATATTGCTTCATATGTATTCGAAATATTATTGTATGTTGAGCAGAAGTAGTGAACTGGGTGCTTTGGGCCACCATGTCTCTTCTGTATCTCAAAGGCTTAAATAAAAGATGGTTTGAGGCCAATCCTGATGAAAAGGTAAAGGAAGCTGCAGTTGAATCAAAGAATGTGAGATTAAGTTATATACAGGCTGATGATGATGAGAGAGAGTGTTCAAAACTCCCTGATACATACATGCGAGAGAGTGGATGGAAATTGGCCAGAAATACCCAGTCAAGAAATTCTTACTTTGTTGGGAAGAGATCGAAATGGTTGCAGTCTCAAAACTGTGTCCTGCATGAGCCAGTTCTTCCATGCTGAACAAGAAGTAGGTCAGAGGAAGGAGAAGATACACTGTTGGTAAAGACAAAGAGAAATGGAGGGTGTTTCTGCTCTGTCGACCCCCCACTTATATGAGGCCACATAGGTCTTTGCTCAGAGCAGCTCCTAGTGCTGGGCAGCAGAAAATAAGAATACAAGTTTTCTTGTCAGGTCCACCAAGACTCTCCTTTCTTGTCACTGAGAACCAAACCCTAAGTACTTAACAAGTAAAGATTTCCTGGTAAAAGCTGCTCTTTAGTTTCAAATGTAGTATTTCAAGACAGATCCATCAAGATTTTTGGTATTTCATGGCTACTAATAAAGGTTATTTTTTTATCTACTGCTGTTTAACCTAGAGAGTCTCAAAACACTTTAGTCAGAGATCACTCACCTGGCAGGGAAATACATATACTGCTGGAGTAGACTGTAAATGTATTTCAAGGAAGTCATTAAAAATGGCCACGACATTTGTGTGAAAAATGTCAGGCGAGTATACTGGGCAGCGTTTGGACTACTGGTTGTACTTTTTTTAAGATCATCTTGATACGTAATCAACCAAAGGAGCCATAGATGTTTTAAAGATGTCTTCATAAGTCTCTCCAGAAATGAGAGACCATTTCGTATCAGGTCAGATGCTTAATGCTAGACATGCAAACCTCTACTTTTAGGGGAAGGGACGGGAAACCCTGAACGTCAGGCATCCTTGACTGAAAGATCACGATAGAAGTAATGTTCTAGTCCTGTGTTGGTGGCAAGCAAGAGATTGTACTCCCATCAGTAACCCTGATGTATGGAAGGAGTTAACCATGTGCACTGAGATCAAAGAAGATGCTATTTTGTTTGCATGAACCACTCGTGGAAGGGAATGGTATCTTATGGAAGGTCCTTGGGATCATGCATAGAACTTTTAAAATTACTACAGTTAATGGCTGTGGTTACTAGACACCTGATAACACTTGTCAGGAGAACAAGCATGAAATTGGCACCAGTGCATCCTCTAATAGTGAGTACTTCTTGCTTCTTTGAAGATTCTTTATATTTGAAGAATTTCTGATATCATAAATTAATACAGATCTATTGATGTCAATTGTATTACTATGAAATACATCTGCTGAGAAACTGGCCTCTCTTTTCATTTCCATACATGGCTTTCATAAGCCAACTCAAAGAAAAAAAAATGGCATTCTTTCCATTTATTTCAACTAGATTTAGGGCAAGCCGTTAATAGCTGCTGTGCTCTACCAGAAAGGTGAAGAGTGACTGAATTTCAGGGTTGGTTGGAACAAGCCATGTCTATCCTATAGCTCTGTGTGTATCCTGTAATGCTACTACAGAAGATAATGGAAATGAACACGTTTTAATTGTAAGATGCTCTGGAATGTTGGAGGAGAGCAACCATAAAAGTGTAAAGCATGCTGTTCTGTCACTATTTTTAGGAGAAATCCAGTAGATTTCGGAAAGGTGGTCTTTTTCAAAAGGTTTCTTATATTCTTCCTTTCCTGGTAAATCCTCAGAAGTCTGGACAGAACAGACCCCTCTTGTGCCATGCAGTAAACAAGTGCATAGTACAGCAGAGTTGCTGCTTTCAAGAGCTTTCAATCTATAGTGATAAAGCAGGCGACAGTGATATCAAGAATAAAGGGATAAAGGGCATATTGCACAAAAAACTTATGGCTAAATGGAGACATTACTTCAGTCTTGACAGGACAAAAGGGCGTGGGGAGACCTCACTACTCAGCAGAGTCTATGCTGATGTTGAGTACAGGTCAAAATGGCACAAAGCCACTTCAGTGCTGTAGCCAGTAGAGTGCCACATGCAGCAGCTTGGTGGAGTAAGCTGGTGGAGACCATTGTGTTAGACAGTGTTGTTCCTATCCATGAGTCGTAAAAGTACATAACCTGTTCACATACTGACAACTGAAAGACACATCGTTCTTTCCTTAAAGATTTCTCTGACTCTGAAGATGTCTACCTCTGCCTTTTCTCTGCTTTTCCAGATGTTGTCACCCCAAATGGCTTGAACATTAAGAAATTTTCAGCAATGCATGAGTTTCAGAATTTGCATTCCATGTACAAGGCTAGGATCCAAGAATTCATTCGAGGTCATTTCTATGGGTATGCTTTTACTTTTCAAAAACTAGCAATGATTGTCCAACACTCTTTAAAGCTAAGAACCAGAGCAGGAAGACTAACAGATACTTCATAGAGGAGGTGAAATGTTACCAACTTATTCAAATATCTGTCTGGCATTTATCAGTCAGAAGCTGAAGGAATTTTAGACACCAATTCTAACCCTGCTTAACAGGTTGTGAGATCAGGCAGAAGGTCTTGATTTTTTCATTGTTTACTCAAGATGCAGTTTATCAGATTAAGATAATAATCTTAATTTAAAGAACAGCAGAAAAGCCTCACTTTCATTATTTTCTTGGGATAATATATTCTTCCAGAATAGAAAGCTGTTGTGTGTTTTGTTTGATTATATCTTGAGAAATACTTCCTGCTTGTCTGTTTGTTTGCTTGGTTTCAGCCACCTTGACTTCAATCTTGACAATACCTTATTTTTCTTCATTGCTGGGAGATACGAGTTTTCCAACAAAGGAGCTGATATGTTTCTAGAAGCCTTATCAAGATTAAACTTTTTGCTGAGGGTAAGAAAGCTTCTGCACATCTAGATAACTCAGAGCTTATGCTCAAGCTTAATGTACTACGGAAGACACCTGCAAGAATTTCCGTACTATACTCTGATGTATAGGAAAACAATTATGTGATAGTCACAGTTTTCATAAAGCTCTGCCTCTCAATCATCAGAGTATATAACGATCTCAGGTTGTCTAAAAATAGTTGATTACGTAGTTCAAGAAGTTAATCCACAGTTATCTCCCTTGGTTTTAGATACAAATACTGAAAATTTGATTCAAGAATTTACCCTGAAGGCTTACATATTAGAAGGCAAATAAAAATAATCCTTTAATGATACAATTAAAAAAATTATTTTAAGCAAATTGCTTAATTTGTTAGGACCTGACGATGAGCTTTTAAATTTTTGAGTACTGTTATCAAATTGGATAGAAACCTTGCATTAAAATTCACATTGGGGCAGTGGCCTGATGACTGAGCACGGGGCAGCCACTCACTCCTCCATGCTTCTGTTTCCTCACGTAAAAAATGAATGCAATGTTTCTAAATGCCTTTATGGAGTACTTTAATGAAGATAATACCAGTGCACTTACCACCTACAAGTGAGGTCATTGACATTGTTCCAGATGTGTCCCTAAGACTGACAAATTTAAAATTAAAAAAAAAAAAAAGCGAATCAGTTTTCAGTAATCTAGCAAGAATCAATAGGCTGTTGTCCCAGACTCTCTCTTTTGTACTCTGTCCTTTACATGATATGGAAAATCTGGATTAAAATCTTGATACTATATTGTCAGCAGGGCTGAAACAAATACTAATTTTCAAAGCCGTAAGTACACGTGTTCTACTGCCACCTTCTAATAAAACACCATTAGAGTCTGTGGACTTTCTGGAAATACTTAATCCATTCACTCACACAACAGGTCACCTCACGTAGCTTAAGTATTTCCTCCACAACTTTGCTAAACAACTGACTTTTCTTGTTTGACAATGCTGTGCAACATCAGCTACTTGTTAATGTCATTTAGATAGCTATTAACTATAAATGCTGATAATGTGGAAGGTCTTATGTGATAAGAGGGAAAGAATTGCTTGAGCAATGATTGCAGCAATCCCATGTTGTATCTAATGATTTATAGGACATCAAAGACAAGCTAGGCTGATGGAAAGTCAAAGGAAACAGCCTTGTTTTTTAAAGCTCTCTAGAACAGCATACTGGGACTTGCTTCTCCCATAAACTGAGCCTGAATTTACTGCGTTACTGTTCCGACATACAAGCCAGCACCTGATTAGTTCTTCAAAGAGCAGTTGCTCTGTAATTATTTCAAGAGGTAATTCCATTGGGAACAGCAGAATATCTGTACTACTTGTGAATCTAGGAATGATGGTGTTTCTTAAACAAGTCCCAGTGATGTACCTGAAACTAAAAAATACATAAGATTGGATGGAATTATTTTATTTTATAGAGTCTTTTTTCCTTCACTACTTGAAAATGGTACTAACATTTTGGAAATAAAATATGAATGTTGGGATAGATTGTTAATACACACTGAGATCGTAGCATGATGGACTTTGAACCTGCCTCGAAGAGAAGGAAGGGAAGAATTTTTAAATGGTAAATGACTCCCATAGGTTATTTTATACTATACATTTCCCTGTACCTCAATCTAAGGGAATTCATGCTAATAGCATGTTTGTGTATCTGAAGTTTAGAATGGAAGCAATTCAAAATAATTTAGATTTTACAGCTCTGAACATTGTTCACCCTTAGCTTTTCTTTAAATAATTGCTGACAGGAGTACAACCTCATTCTGCTCCACACAAGGAATCCCTCAGGGACCTGTTATTCTGAACCTTGTTAGTGCACAGGAGAAACCAGCAAGTGAAACCATCTATAAGTAAAGGGTCAGATTTTACAGCAAATGCTTTTGCCTTTGCAGTAGATGAATGTGAGAGATGAGCAAGAAGTTGCTTGCAGCTTTTCTGCCCGTACATCTGGGGCACTATTGCTGTAGAAAGTAGTTCTGCTTGCTGCTGTACGGAATCCCTCACCCCATGCCTGGGCATACCTCAACAAGTAGACAAATTGCACACTCCTTTGAGCCAACATAGTTTGCGTCAGGTGAAAAAGTGTGTGTAGGATTTTTATTTTTTGCAGTTTATGTTTACACCCTAAGCCATGGCCTCTAAACCATGAGAAGTCAGGAACATCTCTGTTGCCCAATTTGGAATTGGGTGACATCAGTTTATCTGTATGTACCCTCAGCTATATCTCTGACTTGACAAAAACCTCATAGCTAAAGGGAGAGATATAAGATCAGAGCCTTCCTGGACAACCAATCAAGGTGCATTGGCTTTTCCTGTGACTTAATTGTTAGTGTTAAAGTTGGCTGTGATAACCTTGTAGTGACATTTTTTTCCCCTCTCCATCTTGTGTCCATGTAGGTCCATAAGACTGATGTTACAGTTGTTGTGTTCTTCATCATGCCAGCAAAGACAAACAATTTCAACGTGGAAACTCTGAAAGGACAAGCAGTCCGGAAGCAGCTCTGGTAATTGCCATTCTCACTGAGGGCCTTGTACGGTAAATGGAGGATACATGCAAAAGTTTCTCATGAAGAATAATGCTCTTTCTTTTTGCTCTGCTAAAACTGAGGATTGTGGGTAACTAGAATGTATTTGTGGGGATGAAAGAGATGGGAACGGTAAATAAGGGCACATGTTTCTCTTTTTTTGTCCTAGGTTGTATTTAGTAAACTTGCCGTGTCATTCTTTGTAACAAGTTAGCAAATAGTACTTGTTTTGCAGTGACAAAGTCAAAAGTTCTAGAAAATCCAGTGTTATGGATGTCTTCTGACTGTTCCTGGTACTTGCTTTAGACATGCCATTGAGCTCCCACAAAATAAGGATGGCCTGCTAATTTATCAGAGGGAACTTCTCTGCCACCAGTGGGATAAAGAAATTAATTACATGTCCTGTTTTATTTCAATTATGGAAATTGTACTGTCTAATCCAGCAGAATAACAGTTGATAACAGTTATCTGTAATTTTCTATACAGCCTACAATAAGTGATGGTCACACTCAAGCATTGAAACTTACAGCTAGAAAGGGAAAATTCACAGCCCTTCTTAGTTTAACAGTTTCTATTTTACAACTTCCCAAACAAAAAAGCAAAGCAGGGGCAGACTTAATCTTCACCTCCTTTTGACTGCTGTGTGATTCCAAATAGGAAAAGACCTGTGTTGTGAGGTACTTCTGAACTGAGACACATGTCAAAACTGAAGGTTCAAGTTCATAAAGAAAATCAATGGTGGGTTATCAGGGATGAGTTTTGTTTAAAAGTGATATATGCCATTTCACTCAACATATTTACAGATTAATTATCCAAGCAGGGAAATGGAAATGTGCACCTTATCAGGTAGCTAGAGCGGCTAAACTCTGCTGCAGAAGTAAGGAAGCTCGTCGTAAAGCTGAGGGACTGAAACCCGCAAGACCTAGCTTCGGCTTTTATGCCTGTGTCTCACTGTGTTTAACCTCTTTCTGATGCCAGTTCTATATTTACGAAATGATAGAAATCTAAACGACTTAGAGGCGTGTATATGAAAGGCACTGTGTAAGAGAAGGATACTATTTTTCTTCTTATCTCATTAACCGCCTTCAGCAGGTGGTCTCTGGCTCAGTTTCTGGATATCAGTAATCAAGTTGAAGTCTTTGATTAACAGATACTAAACCTGCACAAAAAAAAGTGACAGAAATAGTTTAACATGGATCATTGAAATAATTTAGCTTTTGCCATATCTGGAAAAGACAGATATGAGAAATCTATCTACTCTCTAGATTTTCTCTGGAGTCATCACACTGCAGCTTCTTGGGACTTACAGGAAACATTCTACCTGGTTACCACTCTGGAAACAGGGACCACAAATGTAGAGGTTGGAACTAATTTTCCAACTCTGGCTTCCTAGAAGTAATGCATCTGAGCTGACTTCACTGCCGGTGGAGAGTGGTTCACTCCAAATGATGTTTTGTCCTATACCACTTCAGGAAGTGTCTAAGATGAGCGAAGGGAATCATCATCTGAAATGGAGTGTCACCCTCTGCGGATGTGTCGGTGATCTGCACAACTAGCTTAAACTGTAGATGGCTAAAGCAGGGGAACATAGCCAGAGTTTTTAGTGACAACTCTGTACGCAAGAACTGTAGGAAAATAATGTGAGTGCAGTGGGAAACAGCCATGCTTGCTACAAGTGCTTTTGGTCTCTGCTTTGTCTTTGATGCAAAGTCCGTGATGTTTGAATATAATACAACAGGTACATATTAAATAAACAATATCTGGATATTAGGAAAGTTTAATTAAATGAAATATGCAAAGATTTTTTCCCTGTTGTATCTCTACTACATGGTTTTTTCTCTGGTACCCAGTAATGCAGGCACGATAGTAACAGTAAAGGTAAACCTAAAGATGTGAAATCGTGAAAAAAATGCTGCTTCCAGCTATTCTTCCGGCTGTGCTCTGTGAAAAGCAAAAGACCCTCTGCATCATCATATGCAGCATTATCATGGTCATAATATGGAGCTCCTGGATAAAACAACCTGATATCAGTATTACATAATAGTATGAGATGATTTTAAGGATGCCACAGAAATGAAATGCAAGAAGACGCTGGAACTTATAAAGGAGTAGATGATGGCTGATCTGGGATATAAAAATCCTTTGTTTCCTCTGCTTCTCAAAAAGCAGTCTATCCTATCTGGGTTAAGTTTTGGATATAGCTCATGGCATGAGTCTGTGAAAATATAGTGATGAAGGGACTAGCTTGATGGGATTTGGATCGCTTTGGTTTGACATTTAGCTGCTTTACAACTCATCCAAAATTAACTTATCGGCTACTGTGTCTATGTGAGTTGGGAGAGAACAACTAACAGGTATGTGGATTCTCAGCTTGGTAAAGTTTAGGATTTCACTTAACAAGTTTTGTCTCAGCCCAAAGTGTCATTTTTAGAAATCAGAAAGGCAGGAAATGTTCCATGAGGTGGGTGTTTCACTTAAATTGAGGGTGCATCTGCTATTTTGACAACAGCACTTCCAGCTGTACATTCAAGTTATTTCAACTAGGGGCAGGATAACACAAACAGCCCTTTGCATTTAGAGGAGTTGTTCACTGGAGTTCTTTCTTAGCTAAAATACAGCATTTGTGTGACACAGGCTTTATTATTAGCTTAAAACATGGCCTGAGCTTTCCAGAAAGTTTTTTCATTTGCAAACTAATATATGACAAACTACCTTTTAGTTTAACACTTGTTTTCAAAAGTCTTTGAGTTAGGAAACAGGGCAGAAAGTGAAGGGAGAAGCTTGCTTTAAAATCCCTATTTGTTTAACTCTTTTATCTTAAATCTTCCTACTAGGTCAAGGTAAATTGAAGACCTCTGAGTCTTGATTAGTGTCCAATGTTAAGGATCATGTTTCTCTATGGAGACTCATATATACGCTCTCTTTTTCATAGCTGAGATGAAGGTGTTGTCTACTGATCAGAACAAAATATTAGAAGTAATCACTAGTGAGGTCTGCTCCTGGCTTTCACAATGCATTTGTCTTTGGATACAAGTCAAATCCTCAGTTGTGTTGAACTCTGTCAGTGTGGCTGCTGGCTGTATAAAAGAACTTTGAGAACCAGACCTCTGTCTGCTGCTGCACTGTGGATTCCATCAGTATACATGAAAGTACAATTTAATTTCCAACAGCAGAAATCTTTTTTTATTCTGTCTTTGTCCTGGATTCTCCTGTTTTTTACATACATTTATTTGTTTTCCTAGGGACACTGCACAATCTGTGAAAGAAAAGTTTGGAAAGAAACTCTACAATGCCCTGCTAAAGTGAGTGTATAGGCTACTTTGCAGAGCCATATATTTATCTAGCATACCTGTGGTGTTTCTATGCTACTATTTGTGTAAGAAGTTTTTACATCCATGGGTAGGCTGTAGGAGAAGGTTATGGGACCCTCTGTTCCATATACAGGTTACTTGTTCAATAGATAAATGACAGAGAAAAAATTTAAAAGTACTAGCACCCCATCGTGGAAAGAGTCATAAGAGACATGGGGGATGTCTAAATAACACAAAGGCTCACTCACTGTCAAAAATGAGCTACCTCAGCTTTAAAAAGCACCAGAGACAAAGTAGTATGTATTATTGGCTTTAGTCATATCCTTTCAAAAGACAGTTGGAAGTGAATGACTCAAAGCGCAGATAAGAGGACTGGAACTTCAGCAAAAACGACGTGTGTCTGAAAAACAGAGAAAAAGAATTATCTAGCTTTTTTGGAAGCTAATTGGAAGGTCAGCAAGTGTACGGAACAAGAAAATGTAGGGAATATAGAAGGGCTCTGAAAACAAAGGAAAGATTCATGTTGACATCAGCAGACTTCAAATCAGACCTTATTTGCCATTTCTTTGTTTTCTTTATGCAACTGATGATAAGTCATTTGGTAAAATAGGCTCTGTGTTGCCTCTGCAGAGGAGAAATTCCAGACTTGAACAAGATTCTTGACCGAGACGATATAACCATTATGAAAAGAGCCATCTTTTCAACTCAGGTCAGAAAATTTATTATTTACACAAGCATCTAGTATAAATAATAAACATGGCTGTGTACAAGGATCGTGTATGACATATAGTGATATGCATGCACTGAAAAAGTTTTCAGCAAATACACTTCTCATTGCTAAATTTAAAGATCAGCTGTGATGGTTTTTAATGAGAGTACAACCCAAACTAATTCTTTTGGGGAATCCATGGATATTCCCCCAGTGACATGCAGGACACCAAAATTCCTAGTTCTTTTCTTCTGCACTAAGTATGAACTTTGCATTGTTCCTGAAGCCTGCATTCTTCCATTTTTATTAAATATGTAAAATCGATCTCTTTAAGAAGACATAACATATTGACTAAAAACCTTTAAAATTAAATGGTAGACCTTTCTAAAAGTTGATACGTACACATTTATTTATTTTTATTTATTCTTTCTAAAAGTTGATACGTACACATTTATTTTGAGGTGAATGAAACAAGTCTTGTCACTGATTTTATGGTCTCATTTGTCACCTTAGTTATATAGAAGACAACATTATATGATCATAACTTTCCTTTCTTATCTTAAAATGAAATCATAAAAACCTATCCACATCGATGACAAAATCTCCCACTGTCTTCCGCTAATCTTAGAAAATGGTATTGGGACTCTTTGCCAACAGTTTTGTCTGGCTTATGGATTGCCTTTTCTCTCCTTAGCGACACTGCCTGCCTCCAGTGACCACCCACAACATGATTGACGATGGCAATGATCCAATCCTCAATACCATCCGACGCATTGGCCTTTTCAATAACCGGACAGACAGAGTAAAGGTACATCCTCTCATTTTCGTTTTAGATATAAGATGGAATTTCTTTACACAGGTTCAGTCTGGGTCTTTAGCATGGAGAGTGCAGTCAAATTCTTGATAGGCAGTATTATGCTAAGAGTACTTCTTCCCTTTCCAGGAATAACAACTAGTCACTTCACAGATATCCTCAGTTGCTGTTTGACCAAGTTAATTTCAAGTTAGAAATCTGATGCTAGGAAATTGTTTTCATTGCTACCTCCTGTACTGAATGAAGAGCTACTACTCCTGAAATCCAGAAAGTGCCACAGTCCGTTTGCACCCAGCTGTAAAACTCTGTAATAGATTCATTTGCTTAAAACTGTAGGTCCAGAGTTTGAGCACAGACATTTCTGGAGTATTGGTTCATCTCTTAAGAACAGCACCCTGACACTCAGCATTTGCTGTAGAAGGTAACCAGGGCTTTGATCCTGAGCAGAAATACTTCCTGTTCATGCTGTGCTCACGTTTATATCAACTGTTGAAGCTAAATGTACATAAATAAATCCTTTCCTTACTTCCATGTCTATCTTGCCAGACCACAGAAATTAACAGCTCCCACTTTCACAGGTCTGCCAAAGCTTTTTTTGGTCTGGCAATCACTGGCATTCTCTTTGTTAACTATGACTATCTCATCATCTGTTTATTAAAAGTAGCACCTAAAATTGTGAATCGTTTTTCTTCCAAACCTTCTTTTTAATGTCAGATTCATAGTATCTCTGACAATGTCGTATCACCTGTTCCCACTGTTTTCGCTTTTAAACTCATGACTGAGTAAATAAACATTTTCCTCAACTTCCTAGTTGCTTCTTCCTGGCTTAATGCATTCTCTGCTAAGCATGTGTCTCCAATGAGCTCTGAGAGCACAGTATGGTAATAATATACTAACAATAAGGTGTTAGTATATTATATAGTATATACAATAAGATGTAACAAAAGTACAGTGTAAGGACACACTGTGTATAAATATAATAAAACGTTCCCCTGAACTAACTGCTTGAAGCAATTGGAAAGCAGATAGCATATAAGACTGCAAACACTCTTCCTGCTTCTCAGCAGATTTGATTGGCTAGCTACATGTCAAGCTTGTACAGAACTCATTACCACTGGAAAATTGCTGGCTGCATGAACAGGTTTAATACTTAATGAGCTGAATGTCATGGGCAAAAAGTCTGTGAACTTCAAATGGAAAGTAATTTTGAGAGATGTATGACATACCCATGCAGACGCAGTTGGCATCTGAAAAGTAGCCTCAGCGATGCTAATGGAACATCTCGTTTGATTCACTGGGATCAAATAAGCTTGCATAATGAGTTTACAGCCTATTTACTGGTTGGATACATTCATGTGTTGATTTACTCAGGTCAGTAGCATGACTATATTATTAAGAAAGAATAAAAGCATATCCTTGACATGGAATAATGGCTACATTATGTTTATGTGGGGGAAAAAGCCCAGAGAAGGTTAAAACCTTCCTTCACACTTCTTCCTCCCAAAGCTGACTGGACAGCATACACAAGGCGCTTGTCTCCTTAGCAGTGTAATATGGTGCAGTGACCCCAAGCACTGCAGAGTCATGCACATAAATTAGCTTGGGTCCTGAAAGTGGGACATTAGCCTGAGTTAATAAGCTTTGTCTTTCCACAAGATTAGTTAGCCTAGGCACAGGATTGTGATGGTGAAGCTATAACATGTCTGGTTTCAACATTCTCTCGGTTCTTGGGAGATCCACTGAGTACAGTAAGTATTCCTGCATTTCGGTTAAGTGTTTCTGTATTTCAGTTGGATGCTGCGAAGCTCAGAAGTGCTGTATCCTCCTGAGACCTCCTGTGGCACAAGACACCTTGATACTCTGTACCTTGGTACGACAGACAAAGAGAACCAACTTAGCATTGCTGAATGCCACATATGCCTTAGGCATAATTCTCAATGCACGTGGTCTTCCTTCATCAGTAAGGATAAAACTGAAGACCTGTCCAGAAAAAGGATTCATTATCAGTACTATTTCCAGGACAAGACTGCACACAGGCAGGATACATTTCAGTGTGGGAAGTGAATTAAATAACAGAAAGGCAAAGTGTTGTCTAGATACTTAGGAACCTAAGACCAGAGTGAAGAAATTGCCTAAGTTTACTGATAATTAAAATGTATTGATGATGGTTTTCGTTCACCTCTAATGTAAGTTTTGAATATCCAGGTGATCCTACATCCAGAGTTTCTTTCTTCAACAAGCCCGTTGCTGCCCTTGGACTATGAGGAGTTTGTTAGAGGCTGCCACCTTGGTGTATTTCCATCATACTATGAACCCTGGGGTTACACTCCAGGTAAGCAATCTATCTGTACACTTAACTAATATCCAAAGAAGAATGCCCATTCTCTCAATGCAGAATAGCTTCGCAGCCAGTTTCTTCTGGAGTGCTGAAAAAACTATTCTGGCTCTCTTTCCTCTGCAGTGTAAAGGTCTTACTGCTGGCAAAATTTGAGGGCCAGGTGGTATAAAATGGCATCTACTGACTGACAACTACTCTCATTTGTCCCTGTGCTGGACCCTTTTCCATACTAACGTGTAATCTTTTGATTTTCTGTGGCTTTAGAACATAAAAAATAATTTTAAAACTTAATTCTTAACTTGATTCAAGGATTTTAAAAGAAGATTTGGAGTAATGTACATGTTGAAAAAAGTAGGGCAAGAAATCTGATGCTACCAACTGACATACTTCAGTGGGTTTAATTCAAGGTAACAATTAAGTTTGATAGAATTATGTATCACCATACCTAAGATATTTACTACAGATACATGCAGTGGTAGAGAATCTCACAGAATTGAATGGAAATTTCTAAAGGTACAGAGAGGATGTCGTTTCTGACATGTGGCCCAGGTTTACAAAAGGTGCTTAACACCTGGTGAAATCAGTGCAAACTATGAACTGGAATACCTATGAAGATCAAAGCCTAGGTTCCCAGGTTTTTCATGCCCTCCAAAATACCTTCTGTAGTCTTGATACACATCTGAAAGTTGGGGTGCGCCCCTGAAGAGCATTGGTTGTAAGCCAATGAATCAGAATAGAAATTTTGCAAATCTAGTCATTCCCCAGAGCTATTTCTCTCCAAGTTAGAAAGCTATTCAATTCCAAGTAAGACAACTGCCTTGTATTCCAGCAATTTCTCTTTCTCTTCTAATCTCAGCTAAGGTATAAAGAAGGTGTGACAGCCAGGGATGATGTTGAAGTGAACATTAAAGTAAACCTGGACAGAAAACTTAGATGGTTACTTAGCAGTTTTGAGGAAAGCTGTGATTTACGGTAGTTAATAGGGTGGTTTTCTTTACTAATGCAAAAGTGATTCTTGTTGTTGATACCCTTTTAATTCTCCCAGAAACAAAAGGAGATATTTTAAAGGTAGATTTATGGCTCTATTTTATAGACACCAGTTTTATTGTCATGTGAATGAAGGCCCTGTAGATGGCTTTCAGCATTTCAAAGACTAGAGTCTTTGCTGCATGCTGTCTTAAGTTAGGCTTAAGTTCATTGGCAAAAACTCTTTAAGCTTGAGTAAAGAGTTATCCTTGTTCACAGCAATGATAGCAATAACTACAAAAGAGGAATACATTTTCTAATTTTATAAAAATAGCTCCACATCTACTTTGAATGCAGTCCTGAGGTAATGATAAGGTTTATTGTTTGGTTTTTTTTCTGTAAGGACTGATTTACAAACAATGAATATCAAAATACAAAGTTTAACATGCTCCTGCACTTAAGAGATTCAGTTTTGTAAAAGTTGTGAGCAACTAATTAACATATATGTACAACAGACTTCAATTTAAAATCCAAGCAAATAGTCCAGACCATATATTGGCATTCTCTGTTTCAACACTGGACTCTCAGAAGATTTTCAGTTTAGCTGCTAGGAAACACAAACATATGTTCCCAAAAAACAGTGTGAAATCTTCTCTTTAAAATGTCTTTTTCTTTCTTTCTTTTTTCTTCTTCTCCAAATCCACAACAAAGCCTAATAGTTTTCACTTAACATTTTCAGAGCAGCTCTAGTGTTATGAGACTTTGTCTGCCTGTTTCTTTTTCTTTATTCTCTCAAGGTGAAACCATTCAAAACATACTGCCCTGAAACGCTTTTTGTCTGTTTCTTTTGGCAGCTGAATGTACCGTGATGGGTATTCCCAGTGTAACCACAAACCTTTCTGGATTCGGCTGTTTCATGCAGGAACATGTTGCTGACCCAGCGGCTTATGGTAAAATTTTTAACACCATATCAAAATACTGCCTCTGCGTTAGGAAAGCAAACAGTTCAGCAACAATGCTGTTACTCCTCGATTTTGCGCTTTCACTAATGCAATGGAGTTCAGTAGGGGAATATATTCAGAGCTCTGAATATCTCGTTATGTTGAACAAGCCATTCAAGCTTTCATATTTATCCAAACCCTTTCCAAGTTCTCTCTCTTTTGTCTCCCTTTAACCTTTTGTCTGCTTTATCCTTCCAAACTCAGCGCGCCTCATACGTACTCTAGAGTCTCCTAGCACTTCCCTTAAGTGCCTCAGGTTATGGTGTAACACTTTTTGCTCCTCAAAAGAAGTAATGAAAATCTGCTTCTCTTCGAATAGTCCAAGAAGAATGTGCTGGGACTTCAAGGCCAGCGAAACTTGCTCCCACCAAACAAAGAGTAAATTATTATTTATTAGAGTAAATTATTATTATTTTATTAACATCTTTGTCGGCAACATGGACAGTGGGATCGAGTGCACCCTCAGCAAGTTTGCTGACGACACCAACTGTGTGGTGTTGTGGACACACTGGAGGGAAGGGATGCCATCCAGAGGGACCTTGACAGGCTGGAGAGGTGGGCCTGGGAGAACCTCATGAAGTTCAACAAGGCCAAGTGCAAGGTCCTGTACGTGGGTCAGGGCAATCCCAAGCACAAGGACAGGCTGGGCGGAGAATGGATTGAGAGCAGCCCTGAGGAGAAGGACTTGGGGGTGCTGGTTGGTGAGAAGATCAACATGAGCAAGCAATGTGCGCGGGCAGCCCAGAAAGCCAACCGTATCCTGGGCTGCATCCAAAGAAGCGTGGCCAGCAGGTCGAGGGAGGTGATTCTGCCTCTCTACTCTGCTCTCGTGAGACCTCACCTGGAATACTGTGTTCAGCTCTGGAGTCCCCAACATAAGAAGGACATGAAGCTGCTGGAGCGGGTCCAGAGGAAGGCCACGAAGATGATCCGAGGGCTGGAACACCTCTGCTATGAAGACAGGCTGAGAGAGTTGGGGCTGTTCAGCTTGGAGAAGAGAAGGCTCCGGGGAGATCTTGTTGCAGCCTTCCAGTATTTAAAGGGGGCCTACAGGAAAGCTGGAGAGGGACATTTACAACGGTGTGTAGTGATAGGACAAGGGAAAATGGCTTTAAACTGAAAGAGGGTAGATTTAGATCAGAGATAAGGAAGAAGTTTTTCACTCAGACGGTGGTGAGGCACTGGAAGAGGTTGCCCAGAGAAGTTGTAGATGCCCCATCCCTGGAAGTGTTCAAAGCCAGGTTGGATGAGGCTTTGGGCAGCCTGGTGTAGTGGAGGGTTTCCTGCCCATGGCAGGGGGATTGGAACTAGATGATCTCTGAGGTCGCTTCCAACCCAAACCGTTCTGTGATCCTATGATTCTATCATGTACATTAAAAAATAAACCTGTGAAAATAAAAGGAACCTACGTACAAATAAGAATCTGCTCATAAAGGTTTAGCAATGGTTCAAGATTGGAGTGTGGTAAGGAGGAGGGTAGCCACCTCCTGGTGTGTCAAGACAATATTGAAAATGTGCTCAAACTGGGGCCTCTTTCTGAGTACCTTGGCTTATCTGCACAATCAGGCAATGACAGCTCCACGCTACTACCAACAATGCCCTGACCTAGGGGCAGGGTTAGAGCCAGTTGCAAAATATAGTTACGCTTGCCTGGGTAGACATGTCTTTGAGATCCTTCAAAAAGGTCGCTGATCAAGAGCACGGGTCACTTGCTCTTCTCTGCCAAAACATAGATGTGAGCATTGACATAACTTACGGTACATTCCTAGGGGACACTGGGCACTTCGTACGTCTGTCTTGTCCATTAAGGTAGCTGAGATCTAGTACGCTCTTCTTCCCAACACCCTGGTGTGAGGAAGGTGGTAAGAATGATCTCAACGAACTACATAGAGATAAAGTTTACCTCGGCACTCTCTCTGCTGGGATTGTCTATCAACTAATGTATGTGAGTTAGCCATCCCTGTGGAAACACTTGTATTTTTTCAGAAAATACAGCCTCTGTCCTACAGGCTGATTCTGACCATACACACTTCTAAATTCTGCTGCAAACTAGGAAAGCACTAGATTTTTTTTTTAAAGCAGTCAGTATTTTAAAAAATATGTGGGATAAAAATTTTATGTCTTCATCCAGAAACTCTTGAATCCTTTTGGACACAATAACCCATAACAATAACAACAAAGCCTCTGAGTTTTGAAGAATTTGCTGAGTTTCAGCCTGAAATGTAAAGAAAATTAAAATAAGAAATACATATTTCTCTGCAGTTTTCCATTCCATCAGAATAGTAACAAATATTCCAAGAAATATCTGCCTTCTAACATTAAAAAGAGCATATAATACATGTAATGTTTGTAAGACTATGTGACGGAATGTAGAATGGAAATGTAAGAGGTCAGATTGCGTTTTCAGTTCCACTCATCCTCACCTTTCTTGTGTCTTTCAGGCATCTATATAGTTGACAGGAGGTTCCGCTCACCTGATGAATCATGCAACCAGCTGACTCAGTTCCTGTACGGATTTTGTCAGCAGTCCCGTCGCCAGAGGATCATCCAACGAAACCGAACTGAGAGGCTCTCAGATCTGTTGGACTGGAGATACCTAGGCAGGGTGCGTGAAACTACGTAACTAAGTAGGTTTTGTGCTCCAAAGTCATCTGGACTCTTTCAAAAATCCTACCTCTTCTTCCTAAAATCCTATTGGGCCTTGTAGCTCCTCAACACTCCTAAACTACCTCTGTGCTTTAAAGGTAGAACAGTGGTTTAATTTGACGTAGAAAACACACCACCTACTAAGAGGACAGTAGCAAAGCAGTGTTCTCAAGTCCACAGGAGCAAAAAAGTGGTTGCACATATAACAGTTTTGTAACTAGTTTGGACCTTGTCCTGGTCTGATATCTGTGTGAGAACCTTTCTGTTTATATGGTTCCCAACACAGCGTAAGACCCTGACACAAGCAGCTATTTTTGCCATGCATGTGATGGAAATTCAGGAATATAGTGGATCCATAAGTATTTTTGCCAAATTCTTAAATACCAGGCCCCAGTAAACTCATAAACATTTCTTTTCTGTAACTGTTACACATGCTTCCTTTGCGAGGATGAGTCCAAAGTTTATGTGTATACACGTGCACACTTAAAGATATAAATTTTCCTGGTTAAAGAAGACCCAGTTCTGTCTTGAGGGATGAAGAATACCCATCACTCAATAAGAACTACAGTGACTGAGACACGCATTAGTGTCTATCTTGACACATCTTGGTCTTACAGAAACTTTATTCAGCTCCTGTTTCAGGCTCTGCTTCAGTGGGAATGTAACGTGAATGACTCACGACTTCACAGCAATGTGTTCATTACAAGCAGCCATATCAGTTGAATTCTCCTTAGCCGAAAACATGTTTAGCCTTTGTTCAGCATCATCTTTCAGAAGATACTCCGTTTATGTTCCTTTTTTTTCCCTGCTTAAATCTATCTAAGACTTCCTGGAGTTGTAAAGGCTTCTCTTTTATGTTGCAGTATTACATGCATGCCAGACACTTGGCCCTCAGTAGAACATTTCCAGATAAATTCGAGATGGAACCAAGTGCTCCACCAAAGGTAAAGACGGCTTTTGGAGATCAGTTCATCTACGTTTTAGCTACTTTACAAACAGCGTGTGTGTGTGACAAAAAGAGAGAAGAGAGTTAGCAAGTTTTGTTTTAACCAAAGGGAAGTAGGGACTCATAGTTAAAAGCTCAACAAGTTGTAGACCCAAGCTCCAGTCAGGAGTTGTAATGGTATCAGATGCAAACATTAGGAGTACCAAGTGTAATACAGTTCTTCAGGTCATTTAGAGTGGCCTGGATGTGACTGTGCCACTTTAGACCAGCTGAGGAACTGGCCTTTGAAATTCCTAGTGGAAGAGTGGCAGCTTCTAATTTTGCTTCTGATAAATGCCATGGAGATGTTCTGCTTAAACCGAATAGAAGGTGAGCTGGGAAAAGATGTTAGGGAAAGTGTGGAGAAGTATTGCCTTCACCTAAACATGCTATGTGAGGAGGAGGCTGTGGCTGGAACTGGAAGGAGTCAGTTTAAAGGCACACCTTCAAACAGTTCTTGCATAGTTCCTATTAGCACCAATTTCAGAAGGGAGTCTGCTCAGATCCAATGTAAGAACCATGTTATTTAAAAACAAACCTCCAGACACCTCCAGAGAGCAACTTATTTTTTTAAATAAGAAGGAGGAAGGAGGCTCAGGCTGAACCCCCTTGCTTGGTTCTGCTTTTGCAGGTGTTGACATTATAACTAGAAAACTGGTTTAAAACTTCGGCGTAAATTCTGAATTTCAATAAGCACATTCTGGCTACAGAGCACAGAAGGATTTTGTGTTGTGTTGATGGTTCTAAGGCTCAATAAATATAGTCATATTTTGCAAAAAGCAGTGCTGGAAGGGCAGCGTATTGTTTATGGCACAGGCTAAAGATCACTGCCATACAAGTTTGTACTTACTGGCAGAGAAGGACTGAGGAGATCTGGGTTTAAGGGGTTTTAATTTTAGAGTGCAGAGTAGTTCTACGTTACGTCCCATCACTGGTTTTCTTTGAAGTGTTGATAACTTTACATTGCTGTATACAACTAATTGAAGAACACAGTGATAATACAAACAACTTACTTCTTTCCCTGCCAGACGGAAGGTTTCAGGTACCCCAGGCCTTCATCAGTGCCACCGTCACCTTCTGTCTCTCAGCATTCCAGCCCTCACCATAGCGAAGATGAAGATGAAGATGAGGATGAAAGATATGATGAGGATGAGGAAGCCGAAAGGGATAGGCAAAACATCAAGTCTCCCTTTTCCCTTGGAGTATTGCCGCAAGGAAAAAAGAAGCTGCATGGAGAATATAGGAACTGAATTCGTTGTTCTCAGCCTGGCAGGATCTTTCCATCACTTCAACAGTTTCTGCTGTAGGCTTGGCAAGCTTAGTGTTAAGGACAGTGTGATATAATTAGGGGAATCTTAAATGTTGCGTGAGCTACACTATTGGAAAGCTTAATATTATGCCACCTTGAAAGTAGTTTAAATGACAATTCTTCTGTGCCCCTTTGAGATAGGAGAGATTTCTCAAGCTTAATAAACCTAGAGAATGTGACAGTCCCCTCAGGACCTTATACAAACTGCAGATTATACCTTTGTCTACATAATCATCTATATTAATCATAGTCTAGGCTGATAGCTCCATTTTGGATGTCCCAAATGAATTCCTGCTTTCTTTATGTTCCCCCTTTTCCCCTCCTAAACTAACATGAACTGTAAGCCAGAGCTCAAAAAATTTAGAGAAAAAAGTGTTACACTGGGGAAACCTCGGCAGGGTTATAAAAGATACACTGAAAAGAAAATGGTCTTTCTTTTTCCTTATGCTGTTTATTGTAAGCTTACATCATTTAAAACATTTTTTACAGCACACTGAAGTGTCTTGGTCCAATGGTAAAACATACTTCCTGTGGAACAATATAAAGTCTTACACAGTGGGCATTTGGATTTTAGAGACAAATGAAGTCGTCTTTCTGCAGTCATTTAGACCCACAATAAACAGCAGACCGTTTATTTTCCAGTTTCTCTGGTGTGTCTGTTTCATTGTTTTCATCTTGTCTTAGATTCTAAGTTTGTTAACAAACTAGTTTGGGTGGAAATTAATGTGACTTGTCTAAAGAGCATGACAAAATTTCCTTAAGTAACACTTTCCCCTGCACTCAAAGCTACATGCCATAGAGCAATGTGATAACATTCAAAGATGAGTAACTCTCGTTCTTCCAATTGCCCCATTAGTCCCTGGCCTGTTTCACTTCTTCTAGAAGAAGCTAATCATAACAGATAATGCTAAAAATTCCAAGAATACATCTTCCCCACAGACATAATTTTGAAGCACCTGAAACTTCAAAAGTGCTTGGGGAATAATTGAACCTCACAATGAGAACTAGACATTTCGTTTGCCTTACAGAAAGCTTTCAAAAATATTTCAGTTCCTAGAGATGCAGAGAGTGCCTGAACACGCTTTTCAGACGTAGATCTTGACATGAAGATATTAAGAAGGAAATTCATCTTTTATTTTAGAAATTTGTGAAATCAAGAATTTCTCATGCTGTTCAAGAAAAGACATTTCCAGGAATTGATTCAGCCTGTTATTCTGCAGGTAGGGCAATGTAACCTTTGAAGGTATTTACTTGCACTGTCAATCCCAGGGGGAGCGTGGATGTCCAGCTTTGGTTAGAAACCTGCCTTTTAAACACTTAACCAACATTTGGTGATGTGGTTCTTACTACAGGCCACATAGAGTAAAAGTGATCAGGTGCCTATTTGTATTTTTGGCCACCTAAAGTCAGTTTTAAAATTGGACTTTCATTCTTAAGTTGATTTGGATATCTGAAAGAATAACTATTCTGAGAAGACAGGTTCAGGCTTTTTTAGCAAAAACTGAATTGGATTTAAAAGGAGTCACTATTTTTTAGCCATTTTAAAAGTAATTAAAACAACGAGTAGTTATTTTTCATGTGAAAGTGGTGAAAGCAAAGATACTGCAAATATTTTCCTTCATACATTTTACTAAGTGGAGAATATAATGACTGAGTCCCAAGAAAAGAACATTTAAAGGGCATATTGACTGAAAGTTAGTGATCTCTTAATAAAAAAGAAATTTTAGGAAATCTGATATTATTGCTTGTATTTCAATGCACTGTTGTACTGAAGAAAAAGCATTTCACCCCAAATTCCCTGTCATCAAAATTGCATTAGCATCATCTGAGAGTGATCCAGCACTTCCTTTGCTCCCTAAAAATATTCTAGTAGCCACAGGCTGGAGAACATTTGTCCATCATCATTCCAGACCCTGCTTCATTGCCGTTGTGAAAGATGTTATCGCTACACACATATTGTAGGTATTGCTAAATGGTGGAGGTGCAGTGTAGACAGTATGGAGAGTGGAAAGGTTTTGCTAGGGTTGCATTAAGACAGCTAAATTTGTTCTTCCTGGACAAGTCCCAGAGGAGAAAAATATGCAACATGTATGATACATGTTGCAGGTTCTCTTAGATGTTCTTACGGTGCGTGGGTTCCCTGGGAAGAGCAGAGAGCTGGCGTGACATCTCGCACAAATCCAGCTGCGTGTGTTTCGGCGTGCTTACGTGCTTTGAACTGCTGCCCAGTGGCAGGGAGTGCCCAGCTCTTGAGGTGTGACTAATGTGAATGCTGTGCCCGTTCTTCTCAGGAATGGGCCCGTCTCAGAAGTGGCCAAACTGACCCCTGCCTTATGCCTCTAGGCTTATTTTAGTTCTGCCTTGGATGTTAGGACTAGCTGTCAGCAGCAAGGTGATTTAGCTACTGCAAAATATCTCTGTCTTTGGAATGTGCAGTGTTGGAGGGAATGGCTTTTCCCTCCGTCAAGGCGACAGATTGCCCAACTTAAATGCCACACGTTTCGAACAGTTACTGACATCTAACAAGCTTGGTGGCAGCTGTCTATTACATAAGCAGTCATCTGCCAGATTGAAAATACTAGAGTTTCATAAACAGCTCACCAACAAGGCAGAACATTTATTAAGTTTCATGATATTTGTAAAGCATTGTTTAAGCTAGTGAGTTTAGATCAGGAATACATACAAAAATCAGTCAACTGGGAGTGTGATTATGACAGTTTTTATATATCCGGGACATTTAGAGGCATATGAATTTCATGATACTAATACACCAAGGGGTGTAGAAGCCGCCTACTTTTTGTCTGAGCAGTGGTTGATCATACTACAAAATATGCTGAAAAATAACTTGAATGCGCTGGAAATATTCAGAGTATGCTTGAAACAAAGAGCAGTTAAAGAAAAGATTCTGGTGGATACCATTGGTCTTTAGATGAAGTTCCTCATGAATACAACATATAATGCTGTTGAAAGATACATTAGTGCTTAAAAATGAACAAACAGAACATTTTGATTTCAACAGTTATGTTCCTCCATGAAATGGCCCCTCAGTTCAGGAAGGACGGGGAACTGCTGGAGAGAGTCCAGCGCAGGGCCACAAAGATGATGAAGGGAGTGGAGCATCTCCCTTATGAGGAAAGGCTGAGGGAGCTGGGTCTCTTTAGCTTGGAGAAGAGGAGGCTGAGGGGGGACCTCATTCATGTTTATAAATATGTAAAGAGTGACTGTCATGAGGATGGAGCCAGGCTCTTCTCAGTGGCATCCAATGATAGGACAAGGGGAAATGGATATAAGTTGGAACATAGGAGGTTCCGCTTGAACATGAGGAAGAACTTCTTCACAGTAAGGGTAACAGAACACTGGAACAGGCTGCCCAGAGAGGTTGTGGAGTCTCCTTCTCTGGAGATGTTCAAAACCCGCCTGGACATGTTCTCGTGTGATCTGATCTAGGTGGTCCTGCTGCGGCAGGGGGATTGGACTAGATGATCCTTTGAGGTCCCTTCCAATCCCTAACATTCTGTGATTCTGTGATTCTGTGAAATTATATAGATGATAAACAATTACTGAAAGTGCCCATAGCCCCATGATAGAAATTCCTCTGTTCCTTCAGCTGTGTTTCTTTGTGTGGAGGAGAAACAGCATCAAAGTCAGTGTAAGTTAACAAAATTAATTAGCAGTGTCGTGAGAAAGATCAGAGGAAAGCAGCACTAAAAGATGAAGAGCACGACTAGGGTTAAAGGTTAAAAAAATAAAACACAGTTGCTTGGACACAAGAATCATGTGGCTACTTTTTAATTACATGAGAACTACAGCAGGCTTTCCAGTAAGACCACATCACTACATAAATAACGTTAGATGTATCCTTATCGTCGTGGAATGATAATTAACTGATTTATGCATAATTCCAGATTTGCAACTTAAAAACCAGGCCAACAAAAAAGTACAATAATGATGCAATTAATATTCTGTGTGCCTGTTGCAATGCACGACACTGGATTTGTGACTCGTAGTGCACCTCCGGCAGCAGTAGTGGCTGCATGCCGTAGTCATTAATGAGGCCGTGGTCCTGTAAGACCCATCCCCATACTATCTTTATGTGGTGGGACTTGCTCAGAGTTTACGTTTCTGCATGCGTGTAACTGGGGCAGCACTGAGGTCTAGGTTAAGAGCTGTTGCCTATTCTCTGTGGTGACAGGTATCTGCAAAACAAATCACTTGCTCTGCAGTCAAAAATAATTGCGTTGTTTTAATATCTCACTGATTTTATTGACCGTCAGCAACTTATAGGGCCAGGAGTGAAGTGGTGAAGGAATCTACCTTTATCAGAAATAGGAAGGCTTCAATATACAGCTGGGTGGAAGGTGGTAAAAGGTTTCCTGAAGACTATTGAAAAAATATTTTTAATGAAGTAGTTGTCCAAACCCACAGTTTTAATCATCTTTCCAGGTAAGACAGTATAGCTTTTTTAAAATTTTGGGTGGGACATACAAAATGGTCTAAACAAGGCAAGAACTTTATAAATAATTTCCTTATCTCAACTAGTAACTTTTAATCAGTTTGCGTTCAAAATGTTGCAATGACTTCCCTTTGGGAACCCAAGTGAGGATGGATGAGATATTCTCTTTACACAAATCATGACACCAAGGTATATGCAATACGAATATTAAATAAATTTTAAATATTTCACCAATTTGATAGATTCTCTGTCAAGTAGCCAGGGTGATTACTGTTTTCTTCTTCAACTGTAAGACAAGACACAATAGGGAAAAATGAGCTATAGATAAAGGAAAGTTCAGTCAGCCAAAGTTCTCATGAGATAGACATGCCTCACGCACAGGTCTAGTGTAATGCAACTGCTTAGCTAAGAGATGCAGGCATCTGTAGAAATAGTCGTATCTTCTCTCATTTTAAATTTAGGAACTTTTCAGTTTGCTGAAAAGCAAA